CCAGTGTGGACTCTCTGATGTTTAAAAAGACCTGAATTCTGAACGTAACATTTCCCACACTCCTGGCATTTGTATGGCTTCTTTCCAGTGTCAAGTGTCTGATGTGACAGGACTGAATTCTCACTGAAACATTTTCCACAGTCTTGACACTTATATGGTTTCTCTCCATTGCCAACACTCTGGTGAGTCAGGCCTGCTGAACTGTGAGAAAAACATTTCCCACACTCTAGACATTGGTATGGTTTATTTCCAGTGTGGACTCTCTGGTGTTTCAGGACTCCTGAACGCTGAGCAAAACATTTCCCACACTCTTGACATTTGTACGGTTTCTCTCCAGTGTGGACTCTCTGGTGTGTGAGAAGGTGTGAATTTTCACCAAAACATTTCCCACACTCCTGGCATTTGTATGGTTTCTCTCCAGTATGGACTCTCTGGTGTGTCAGAAGTGTTGAGTTGTGAGAAAAACATTTCCCACACTCCTGACATTTGTATGGTTTCTCTCCTGTGTGAACTCTCTGGTGTGTCAGAAGGCTTGAACTTTGAGCAAAACTCTTCCCACACTCTTGGCATTTGAATGGTTTGTGTCCTGTGTGGGCACTCTGGTGTGCAAGAAAGGTTGAATGATGGGTAAAACGTTTCCCACAGTCCTGGCATTTGTATGGTTTCTCTCCAGTGTGGACTCTCTTGTGTTCAAGAAGATATGAATTGCGAGTAAAAGATTTTCCACATTCCTGGCATTTGTAAGGTTTTTCGCCTGTGTGGACTCTCTGATGTTCAAGAAGAGTTGAATTTTGAGCAAAGCATTTTCCACACTCCTGGCACTTAAATGGTTTCTCTCCTGTGTGAACACTCTGGTGTACAAGAAGGGTTGAAGTGTATGTAAAATATTTCCCACATTCCTGGCATTTGTACGGTTTCTCTCCTGTGTGGACTCTTTGGTGAGTGAGAAGGTTTGAATTGCGATTAAAAGATTTTCCACATTTCTGGCATTTGTATGGTTTCTCTCCTGTGTGGATTCTCTGGTGCACCCGAAGGAAAAAATTCCTGGCAAAACATTTCCCGCATTCTTGACATTGGTATTTTTTTTCTCCTCTGTTGATTCTCCGGTGACTGACAAGTTTGGGTTCAGTATTATCATCTTTTCCAGGTGCTTTATTTGTGAAACACAGGTCTTCAGTGTGGATCTGCTCATGAAGTGTAAGTGCCAACCTTTCAGCAAAATGTTTACCACACATGGTGCACGTGTAGGTCTCTTCTCTAGCATAAATTTCCTGATCTGCTGGAGGAAGAACAAGCATAGAAAAGATTGAATCCTAAATTTGAGAGAAAGAATCCACTGGAATAGAATAAGGGTCTAAATGAACAAACTGGATCCTGAAATGAAAATGACATCATGGAGGGAAAAAGGAGACTATGTCATTTTCCTCCTTCACAGGTGCATGGCACCTACACCATTTAT